CTTTTTATCGCTAAATGCCAATAGTCGTCAAAAATTGATAGATACTGCTGCAATGAAAATGACTATAATGAGTCGGCAAATGCCGCTACCACCATGGCACCATACTACCATATTAGGTACTCCATAGCTAGCTCCCACTGCAGTGTGTACGGACCTGAATGCAGGTAAAGTTTCAGGGATCCAAGGGGTACCCACTCTCCCAGAACAATTTCTAGGGCTAAGCAATTGCATTAGGTAAACGTCGTTCACCACGCCACTGGTGTAATTCACCAAGATTTTTTAAAATTTAAATGTACAAATATAAAATATGTACCTAATAACACCATGAKAATATTGTGTACGTACATTTAATGTTTTTGTGTTCCATTTCCACCGGAAACGATAAGCTTTTTCCCTAATCACCTTCAGAAGTTCTAGAGATATTAAACCTTTTAAAATAAATAAATAATAAAAAATAAATATAATAATAATTTCATTGAAATAAAATAAAATAGGTTATTGGTATTTAAACTTGTAGGTATTAATGTATTATATAAATATATATATATATATATATATATATATTGTACATATAAATACACTATTAGTAATAAAAAGAACAGGTAAAATATTATTGGCTCTTACTATAAGATGTATAGAAAAAATCAAACTTTAAGCAAATTTATACTAATAAAAACACATATATTTATACCTAAATATAAATATATATATATATTTTTTTTTTCAAGGTATGAAATTATTTTGATTGTAAATGTGTCTCAGATATTATTATAATTTGTAACATTCAATTTTGTATTTACCTAATAATCGACATTGACCTAATCTTAGTTTTTGTATTAAATCCAACATTTCCATGCATAATTTTTCTTTATAAAGCAATTGTTCATGATTCAAACCTATAGGTATAAGAAGAAAATGTTGTTTGATTAAACTTAAACTACCTATATTACACCTTTTTAAATCAAACRTTACTTTGGTTTTTTGACTTCCAAATAAATTTCAATCTTAAATCAACTACAAATGGACTGTCTTTATGAATATTAAATGACTTTAAAATTGCTTCAAAGCTTTTTGGACAGAATAAATTTATGCTTTTCATTAAAGTTTCAACATGTTTGTAGAAACATATCATTTCTGAGCTCGATACCAATTTTTTGCAAATCTTGCATTGCCAAATCGACATTTTGTCTAATGGATTGATTGGTAAAATGCGACCGTCACAGTTTTTAACTATGCAATTCAGTGCTGCTAACTCAGTTCCAAATTCCTGTCGTAAAAYACAAATTATTACAATTAAGATGTCAGTAAAATGTAACCGTGATTATAATTTTATATTATTATTTTTTACTCGTATGATAACTAACTTCTATGTCACAGCATCTACTACAGGTGCAAATAAATTGTTTTGACATTAACAAGTGCTTCTGACGTAGCGAAGTAGGCCAAATTGAATATGTGTAACTAGTATTAATTTCCTGTCCTTTATATATTGGCAAGGAAGCTTTTACGATCATTTGAAGTTTCTCGTTAAAATTGTGCATTGTGTTTGGAACACAACAATGGTTCATAAATGCTGCTACAGGGTACAAACCTTTCAAACTTATTGATTTATTGGAACGATTTACTATTGTTTCAAAACAATTAGCATCCATTATTTTACATGTAGTTACCATTATTTTTTCATCTTCCTTGTCTAAATCCATACTTATGTTTCTTTTCAGTTCTTCAACCTATTTATAATATGAAAATATTAAATATTTTAGACTTTATCTATTATATGGTAAATTGTAGGTATATGTGCCATACGTTATTGAAATATTGGTAGGTACAAATTATAGAAATAATAGGTACCTATATTGTACATTTAATAATTACATTTTACTGACAGCTGATTTGTCAGATGGGTGATGGCAAAAGTGGTTTTTGAGTAGCCACAGGGGGGGGGGTCACAAATATTTTTTATGTACTTACAATTTACATAAATATCCCATTTATATTTTACTATTGCTTTCATATTTGTATATGGCTCCAGGGAGGGGGCGCGGTCCACCTATCGTCCCACCATAAAACTAAGGAGTCGAAATACTTTAAAAAAATTAATATAATACAATATCAACATATTTTGTTGAAAATTTCAAATATTTTCGATTATTTATTTTCAAACCTTAGGTATTAATATTAAAAATTGTATATAATTAAACTATTTGCAAATTTTTGTAAYTTTATTTATAAATTTGTCAAAATTTAACCTTTAGACGTCTTTTTTCGATATTTTTTAATTGGATATTGAACCATTTAAGAAAAAGCTTGTATGACATTTAAGCTGTTCGATCCAACAATAAAAAAAAATTACCGACATTTATAGGAGAAAACTAAAAGAAATTTCAAATATCTATAAATAGCTTAAAATTAATCAAAATATTTTTATAATTTATAGAAATATTAATTTACTGATTTCTTGAAAGTTTCAAATACTTATTCGAAGTAAAACTTTAAAAATAATTGTTTTGAACTATTCTRGTTGCAAGTTGCTCTAGTGAAGGGATATTCTTAAAGTAAAATATTATTAGGGGATTCGAATCTGACTTGTATTGTCTACCAAAATAGAACTTCCTATCTTATGATAATTTATTATGGATGCCTATATACTGATTATCTTACAACTTCAGAAAATATATTTGAATTCGAGGAGAGTTTAAATTGAAAACGCCATTTTTTCCTTTTGAAATTATCGAACTTTAAAAAAATTACCTCTAGGGTTTTTGACGTTTCAAAATTAAATTTTTAACTTTTGAATATTTTGCATTTTTAAATTTTAATGATAAGAATTAAATTAATTTGTTTTAAAATATAAGAAAGTCGATTTCAAGCAAACTTCATAAAAAATTCAAATATATTTTTAGAAATTTTATCRTGTACTTAAGTTTTTCAACAAAAAAAAAAAACTAATAAAAAAACAAATATTCGTGTAGSGTATTATTGACATCGTGGTGCTCATGCAGCTACTTCATAACAGTCGTACACATTTTAATGATCACGTCATATTACCATGAATCCTTGCATATAATATGCAGACATTAACACAACCCGCACGCAGTCGTCACGGTCAGCTTAGGAATTTGCCTATATTTCTGAAAACGGATRTTTTCAAATCTCCGATTCCAACCAAATTCATAGTCAAAATTATCATCGTCAAGATGGATTAATGACTATGTCTTATGGTCCTATTGAATAMAAATTTGACTGGATCATAAACTTTATGATGACACCGAAACATTTAAAGGACCTTATATAGGTATTGTTGTATTGAAATTTTAAAACATTTTGATATAGATGAATTAATTTTTATATATACCTAAATATATTGGTATGTGTATGAAAATTACAATTTGTTGTATAAAATTTTAGTTTTTTGTTGTTGATTGTTATTAGGGAGTAGGTACGGTATGACATTACCTACCCATAAGTTTTTTGTTATAAATAAATTACTGCCTAGTGCCTAATATGAATGTATATTATTTATTAACTACMATTTTGCTCCTTTATTATTAGTTTTAACTTTTAATAACCWTGCCAGTGAGTAGTTTGAGTTTAAAAAAAAATCAAATATTCAGTCAAACTATAAGTATTATTGGTTTTTGGTTTAATTACTTCAATCATAGGTGATAAGACCTTGCAGGACAATAACCTATTTTTAGGTTTAGGTATATAGATTTATATAATTGTCAAAAGTATAGGTAGGTCATACTTTGTCACGCTCGCATCGAAAGTTAAATTTTCAATGTCATTGAAGCATTAGAAACGACTTTATTCCAACCAGCGGTCTGTAAATACTTTTTTCCGTTGGTAAGATTCATACATATTATACATGCACTTGACATGTATAGATATGTTTTGCCTAATCTACCATCAAATACTATAGCTGGTAGGTTGCCAGGTGGGTTACTCACATACTGCTCTATGAAAACCTTATATCCGATCTTGAGAATAGTACATTATAATTTATATTGTTTATTACTGGCCATAGGCATTTTCAGAGGCACTTGAAATGAAACAAAAAGTAATATGTAGGAAAGGTAGTCTTTGCACTGAAGTTACACACTTAAAGGCCTTGTCACACAATGTATTATGTTATTGTTCGAAACTTACTAAACATTACCTATGTGGCTATGTATCTGTATGCAAGTGTGTAAAAGAACAAATATTTCAACACACCACACTCCCCAGTTATAATATAATATAGGTAAAGAAGAACCCGGTTTGTGGGCATGTTATTTTTTGACTTCCCTTTCATCACATACATTTTAGTTGGTATAGTATAACAATGAAAAATACCTCAAACGTAAGTTTATCCGTCAATTTTTTTTGCAACATGTCCAGGAAGTACTTGTACTCCCCGTCCCTGATCGAAAGGCCCCGGACGGCCGTGATTGCATTGTACATGCCCGCTGACCACGTCTGGTCGTCGCTCTTTGTTTTCGGGCATAGCTGTCGGACGTACCGGCACTCGTTCTGGTGTTCGGGATGGTTGGCACACTGAAGTCCACACACCGGCCACTGGCAACCACCCGGACATCCGATTGGCGTCGTTAATACAGAGTAGCATACTGGACACACTGGGCTTCGGGTGCCGTCCGTGCTCAACGCTCTCGGTGAAACAATCAGTGGAACGTCTACGAATATCACGTCACCCACGTTGTAATCACGGGTGGCCACGACGCCACGACCAGCCACCGTTGCGGGTCCAGTGCTGATCGTCCACTCATCATAGCCTTTGAGTTCACCACCGACGTGAGTCAGGTAATTCTTCACGCGATCGTTGATAGCGTCCATCTCCATACCTATTAAACCGTCGAAGTAGCATAGAAGTATAAACTATAAATATAGCTTCTAATTGATTCATATTTAAAAAATCTAAAAAACTAAAAAATAGTTATAAAAGTAGTATAACCTATAATAAGATATGAATAAGTTAATGAAAAAAAAAGAGTCAGATACCTCGAGTTAACGTTAAATTATAATAGTTAATAATTAACAAACAAAATATTCAACTTAAAAAGTAAAAGTTTAAAGTTAATATAAAGAAAAATATTAACTCWACTTAGTTCAAAGCATTTAAATAATTTTTTATGATTTATATTTAAATCATACATAAATAAAGTGATTGTTGTGCAATTTTCAATTTTTTAAATAATATATATTTTTATCAAACATAAATATTGTAATATTTCTATTCTTATCAAAACATATTTTAACGTATAAAGTACGTGGCAAAATTTGGAAGAAAAATCGCTGGCACTGATGAGGTTAATTTAGGTTAGGGTTCACCTATACCTAATATGTTCCTCTAATAAAAWTTTTTACAAAATGTGCCACCCAGAAAATATTATTTAAAATATGCTCTAATTCTTATTGCACACTAGCCACTAGCTGCAGCGGTTAAGGAAATTACAGGTTAGTGACACATTAAGTTATTAATTATTTTTTCCAGAAAATCTGTAAGTTTATTTTTATTTAAAATTTCAAAATTAATCATCTATAGTTATGTTTGAAAATTGTAATAGAAATAACTTTTTAACTTAGCTTCAATTTCTTAGCTTGAAAATTCTCAGGTCTCACCTTCGACAATATTGATTATTGATACAATGAAATTTACACACACGTATAAAGGATAAAGAAGGAAATTTACTTATAGATGAAATAGCGATAGCGAATAGATGGAAAGAATACGTAGAAGAACTATATAGAGAAGAAGAAAACACCAACCTACTCGTTGAAAACCCAACCGACGGTGACTTTGATTCAAATGCAAATACAAGGATCCCAAAATAAGAATTTGAAGACACACTTCAAACAATGAAGAAAAACAAAGCACCAGGCCCAGACAAACTGAACACAGAACTCCTACAAAATACAGATGATGAAATAAAGAACRCTCTGTACGAACTGTTGTGTAAAATATACGAGACTGAGATAATTCCGAGAGACTTTGGATGTAGTAGATTAGTTATCCTACCAAAAAAACCAAGAGCCAACCAGTGCGAAAATTTTCGGACCTTAAGCCTGATATCGCATGTGGCTAAATTACTGACAATAATTGTAAGTAAAAGGATAAGTAAAAGGATAGAAGTTAGATTAGACAACGACCAATATGGTTTCCGGAAAAACAAAGGAACTAGGGAGGCTATTTTAGGTCTGAGAGTAATACTTGAAAAACAAATTGAGAGACAAAAAATCACTTATATGGCTTTTATAGACCTAGAAAAAGTATTCGATAGCATAAATTGGACAAGTCTCTTTAAAATTTTGGAAGWAACAGAGATAGATTTTAAAGACAGACGAATGCTCTATAAGATTTATGAAGAACAAGAAACCATTATCAACATTAATACAACAGCAGTGACTGCTAGAATCCAAAAAGGCGTGAGACAAGGGTGTCCACTTTCACCTGCATTGTTCAATGTATTTATTGAAAAAGCAATAAATGTCATAAAGCTTTGGTTAGAAYAAAAAGGAATCGGAGTGAAAATAGAAGGGGTACTAATAACAATGCTTCGCTTTGCTGATGATATAGTCGTTCTCACAACATCTGAGGAAGACCTACAAGCAGCATTAAATGTAATGCATTTTACGTTWAAAGAATATAGTCTCAAAATAAATACAGTCAAGACCAAAACCGTAGTATGCTACAAGAATAACGTACCATCTATAAATATAACAYTAGAAAACAAAGAAATTATCCAGGTAGACCATTTCAAATACTTGGGCAGCATTATAACAGACGACGGGAAATCAATTAAAGAAATCAGAAGCAGGATAGGTCAAGCAAAGAACACATTCCTTAAAAAGAGAAAAATACTAACATCAAAAAATATGAACATAGCGACGAAAAAACGGCTCATTAAAACATACGTATGGAGTGTGGCATTATATGGAAGCGAGACCTGGACAATTAATAAGAAAGGAAAAGATATGATAGAAGCTCTCGAGATGTGGTGTTGGAGAAAAATGCAGAGAATAAGCTGGACTGATAGAAGATCAAATAAAGACATCCTGAGAACAATAGATGAAAAACGAACATTGATAGACACCATAAAGAGAAGGAGATGGCAGATGATAGGACACACGTTGAGACATGGAGACGAACTGCATAGTATAATAATCGAAGGTATGATAGAGGGTACAAGATCAAGAGGAAGACCTAGGACGAGATACATTAGTCAAATAATGTAAGATGCAGGAGTCACTTTCTACAGGTAGCTTAAGAATATGGCGAATGATAGAGAAAAATGGTGAAGTCAATTATTGTAAAACATTTGTTAAAAACCAATCTCCGGATTGAAAAACAAAAAAAAAACAATGAAATTAATTTTTTTAACAATAATATGAAAATTAAATTTATTTGAAGAATTCAAATTTTGAATTACCGACTGTACCTAACTTTCTGGTCTATTTTTTGTTCGGCGTACCTAAATTATACGCGTTCTGTGTAGTCTTGGTAGTAAATTACAGACTATGGATAGACAACTAATTGTCTAACTATATCCTGTAGCTGTAGGATACTGGATAAGTAAGATTTATTCTATAATATGATAGGTACTCGTAAAAATATGGATAAATTAATGAAAATAATTAAATGAATTTACGTTAAGTGAGTACAAGATCGTGAAATAAGAGATCCGTAGCTGACAAAAATGCTAAGCAAATGATACATTTAATTTTAGCTTACATTAGAGTTAATATGGAAATTCAGTTAAAAATGATATTGTATATTATCTTAATTAGTAGGTAGTAGGTATATATAACGTGTATCACACATTCACACAATTACGCAAAACGTATTTTGCGTCCATCTATAATATTATATTATTATATATCTATTATGGTATTATTTTATCATGAAAAATAACAGAGATTATAGCATCAGATTATTTTTATTTAAAATTATATAATGAGTATTGTAATAATTAATGCATCAGCCATTTAAAAAATTAAATCATTTTAACAATATTAATTAAATTAGTTCTTTARTAAATAGAAAATAACGTTTAAAACAAAAATAAACTTTTAAACTATAGTTTATAATGCCTACCTTCAAATATGGGTGAACGTCGTTCAAGATAAGACCTATGTGTATTATATAGGTACCTTCAGAAAATACTCGTACCTATGAATGTGTGTCGTTAGATTACGATGGAGGTTCGTGTCTGCACTACTACATGATTTCTTCGGTGTTGACAGACGGACGTAGGTTCATCGAATCGAATGTATAAAAATAAAAATCTCTGCTGCAGTTGTATTCAAACAGCAGGTACACACACAAACCTAAGTAACAATGTACAATATAATATTTCGATTTATTATAATAATAGTATTTTGTATGCAAAACGTGATCACGCTTTGAACTAGCTCTCATTGAAGTTTGTATAGTATAATGTATTATGTACGTACCTATGTCCTATACTATTACCTGTAAGCGGTACGAACGTGTACTGAAATATTACTCGCCGATGCATCCCGAGTAATAAATTGTCACGCAAAATGGCAAAGTGTCAATTTTGTGCACTATATATATATATATATATTATAAAGCCGCGCGTGTCACCAGCTAGGATGATCGATATCGAAATAGATCTTCACGCCAGTATAATAATTATATGCTTAAAAGTAGTTTACGATGCCTGGATGATGGCCAAACACGACTTTTCACGTAGATAKGTATTTTACCGACGGCTAAAATTAACCAAATTAACCGACCAAAATTGTTGTTTTATAAATGTATTATTATTAGCGGTAAATTGGCCAAAAATGTTGGCCCGGGAAATAATTACCGTGTTGGTACTGTGTTGGTCCACCCAATATATTATAATACCTACTTAATTGATAATAATTTTTTATAAAAAAAAAATGTAAAAAGAAACATTTCTTTAGGAATCATCTTATTTATATATATATTTTTAAATTAAAATAATTTACGTTTATAATGAGGAAGTACGCAAATTATGTTTATTTGATGACTGATGAGTGATGAATGGCCTAATCCTAAATTACCAATTACATTTACTTTCCTACTAGAAAAGATGATAAAATCGAAGCATTTATGCCTCAA